ATCAGTTGATGCGCATGCGATTTTCGTATAAACCGAATCAATGTCTTTCAATAATTATTAATTTTTCGATGTTTAATTTAGCGGTCAAAGTGTGCCACTCGATGCACTTTACTATGCAAAAACCCTAAAAATGGCTAAAAATCACGCAACGTGCATACGATTTTTATGCGCATCCGATTTTAGTAATCTCCTATGAAAATACGCAAAAGGACACCTATTTTAAAAGGATCGGTTAAGAACCGCGGATGTGCCTCCACAATCAATTTTGGATAAAATATGCATATTATTCGCGTATCGATGTATTTTTGACCTATTTCCACACAGATTCGCGAATTTGACAATACAAGCATAAATGAATGTAAAATTAATTCGAAGAAAACCGCGATTATTTACGCGAATTTGTCAAAATAAGTTTTTGCAGTTTTTCCCACATTCAAGGTACCTATATCCGCCGTTTTATTGGACGGAATTCAACATGGATGGGCTCATTAGATCCGCCACGTAAAAAAACTAAAATCACGCGGGGTTCCACGGAATTTGAATGGACTTTCTTAATTTAAGACTCAAAAAATATGTTTTTTATAAAAATTTACGCACCAAATTTTCGTCTTTGGAACCCAATTGCAAAGAAGCTACAGTGAGCACATTCATGAGATATACACTAAACGAAGCAGAATCACAAGTTCTACGATCCTATAATTAGTTTATTCTATTATCTGGATGCGCATCCTAATTATAAGAAAAATTCAAAAAACACCGAAAATCCGGCTTCAAAATGTCAGCATCCATTTTGGGTGGATGCAGTGATTATATCGAAAAATCATACATTAGAACCATATTGTCCATGGGGTATTCTGCAACTTAGTCACTGATCACATGTGCGTGCATTGTGTAGTTTAGCCACAAATCGGGAACGAACACAAAAAAACTCGTTGGCTTCAACACATTTTTACCCATTTTTTTACATTACCACCTCCACAGCTTCCACGCAACTTATTATTTATTACCAAAATTTCAAGATTTTGATAAGAACACTTCATTTTATAGAATTGAATTTAAATTATATGCAATATGTTCATATTTCGCGAGTTATAACCTTGCAAACCTCAGCTTCAAGGAATTTAAAAGATTTTTGTAATTTCCCATATGTGCAAAGTTACAACCCATAATAAGCATTGGTATTCATTTGACAGCCCATTTAGAATCTTAAAAATAAAAAATTCGAAAAAGGGGGGGGGGGGGGATAGGGGAGCCTTAAATGTCTTGATTCATATGACCAGCTCAATTTAACCGTTGAACATTAAAACAAACATGTTGGTCACGAATATAATTTTTCTTTATTTAAACTTTACCAAAAGCTACTAAACATTAAATTCTAGAAAATCGTCTTCGAAACGTTTTACTTTTGAAAGAACTGGTACATTCTTTTACATCACAAATATTTATTTTTATTACCAATGTATTTCCCCCTTCTCTCCCATTGTGACGAAACACCAGTGTACATCATAAAATCAAAACTAAACTCAAGAAAATAAAACAAAAAAACATCTTATCTTTCTCGATTGTGATTTAATGTTGCAACATCAAACATCTAAAATTGTTTTACATTACCAGATTCTAACGGCATCAGACCTCATGCTGTTTACAAAAAACTTGTCCATTTGACTGTAAAACCACAATCTTTCTTCTCCAACTCGCTGGAAGTCGGTTTTGTTTTTTGACATCGTTTACAAACTATTTATGTGTGTCCATCAAAAGTCCACGACAACGTTCATGATGATGATGAAGACGACGATGATGCAGCCATATGAAGTTGTAAAACAACTTCGGTGTCACAACATCTCTTCTAACTGTGCAACATGTGTGTGGTTTTTTCTGTTTGTTTGTTTGTTTGTTTTCATTGCTGTTGTTGATGTGTCGTCTGTGTTAATCTTATGTTATTTTCTCACTCTTCTTTAACGGGAAATGTGTTAAATCATTAACATTTTGAACATCACTAAACAGTGGAAATTATTAAATCGCATCATTAATGTGTGTTGTTACATTAAAATGTGTGGCATAGTGTCGGATGTTTTGGTATTACAAAATGTTAGAGATGATTAGACATTATGGAAAATTTTCCTAAATAAAAGTCTGAAGTAATATATTTTTTATGTACTCAGAGTATAAGGCGTGCAATAGTTTACCTCGGAAAAAGATACCACTACTGGCTAGTTTAATACGTCAATTTGACCGATACTAAACTTTATGATCTTTCTCTGAAAAACATATTTTTCAACACCGTCACACAAGAAATTCAGACAAGTTTAAATTAGGAAAACCTTTGAAATTGTATATGTTGTGAGGTTATTATAAAGCGGCCTAAACTCGCCCTTTAGTATAACGCCATATATCGACTAGCTGATTAAATTTGTCTATTATAATTTGTAATCAAAGTACAGACCGCAGCTGCGAGCTACGATATTTTGCTTATAGGTTCAATACTGGCCAAAGACGACATATATTTGTTGGCACTGATAGGATAATATTTACGGGATCAAATGAACCAAAAAGTTTATTTTTGTCACAATTATGGCCCGAACATCACAGTGAGGAGAATCAGAACTTTTGTCATATACAGTGGCGAGCAGAACACAAGTGGATGTTTGTACTTTGGATACGTTTTACTTCATAACAAGTGAAGAAGGTGTTAAGTTTGGCCGGGCTGAACTTTTTATACCCTCCACCATAGGTATACTTATAGTTACGTAAAATGAAAATATAGGGAACATATCAAAATGTGGACATATAACGACAATTCTACAAATCGATAATTGTAAAACATAATGTACATCAAATCTCAAAACCTCAATGCGCATTTTTGGGGTGGAGAATGTGTATAAAATCCATAAAATACTGCAATCTACAGGGCTAAGTTTGTATCACAATATCTCTATTCACCCTAATTATTAAACCGGTCTAGGCCTAAATGCGGGCCGATATATGTTATTCTCCAACCTGACATTCTAGATTTTTATCTCGATATCCTCCGAAGGTTAAATTATTACATCAGATGACTTAATCGTCTTAGAATTTCATACTATGGTGGAATCCGGTTATACGCTGACAACCCAAAATGCGGTACAAATTAGTTAATTATGCATGTATTTCTGGTGAATGTTAATTGTCGTAATTGAAAACCAGTAAGGAAAGTAGTAAAGTCGGACGGGGCCGACTATATGATACCCTTCACCACTTTGGCATATTCAACATATGAATCGAATTTTTGAAGGACCATTAACATGAAAATGGATTCATAAACAGATATAGGGTTGCTTCTTATGTTATAGTAACTTAAGTACGTAGTGCAATATTTTGTGCCGATTGGACCCCACCTTGTTGATGCATTTATATCCTACCCCTAGGTTATACTAACTTAAGTACGCTGTGCAAAATTTGTGTACATTTGGCGTTACATCGGACGAAAATATATATGTAGAAGCTATATCAAAATCTGAACCGATTTGGTAGAGATTAACTACAGTTCATTGTACAAAATTGTGTGTCAATCGGACACACAAGTGCACAATTTACATAAAATCAAAAGAAAAAATATATGGGAGCTATATCTAAATCTGGACCGATTTTCAGGAAATTTAACACACATCATTCTAAACCTTATTTATTACGCTATGCCAAATTTCGTGCAAATCGAAAGATATATAGGGACTTTGGTGCACCATTTACATTAAATCGGAACAAAATATATATGGGAGCTATATCTAAATCTGAACCGATTTTCAAGAAACTTAACATACATCATTCTAGACCTAATTACGCTATGCCAAATTTCGTGCAAATCGAAAGATATATAGGGACTTTGGTGGACCATTTTCATTAAATCGGACGAAAATATATATGGGAGCTATATCAAAATCTGGACCGATTTTCAGGAAACTTAACACACATCATTCTAGACCTAATTAATTACGCTATGCCAAATTTCGTGCAAATCGGATGCTATGTAGGGACTTTGGTACACCATTTACATTAAATAGGACGAAAATATATATGGGAGCTATATCTAAATCTGGACCGACCTTCAGGAAACTGAACACACATCATTCTAGACCTAATTCAGTACGCTGTGCCAATTTTCGTGCAAATCGAAAGATATATAGGGACTTTCGAATACCATTTACATAAAATCGGACGAAAATATATATGGGAGCTATATCTAAATCGGAACGGATTTTTTTTCAAATTTCAATAGGGTTCATCCTTGGGCCAAATAAGAGACCTATGCCAAATTTCATCCACAGGTCGGATCATAAATGCGACCTGTACTTTGTTCACAATTTAACATGGACAGACAGACGAACGGACATGCATAAATCGATTTAAAAAGTGATTCTATGCATATTCTCAAAAGGAACCATGTGTCTATTTCGTTTCCTTTTGCCTGTTACAAACATATGCACAAGGACATAATACCCTGTACCACACTGTGGTCAAGGGTATAAAGATTTGTGTTTAGTTTATACTCGAGTTAGATATGTTCCCAAAACTTATTGTTATGTAATAAATATCATATTATATTGATTTACAAAAAAAGTTTTCTGATAGTTATTTAATTTATTGTCTTTCTATTTCAGATACAATGGCAGTGCAGTAGTTTCTTTTCGCCCTAAAGAATATCTAAATGATCACCCTTGAGTAGCGAACAATAAAATATTCAACCGGAAATAATCACGAATTTACTACAAGAAATTAGTTTGACTTAATTGATTTTTAAAGACTACAAAAAGAAGAAAGTATTTGAGAGAAACAAACGATTTGGCAGCAAAGCTGCAAGCAACAAATTCTTATTCGAATACATATTATTCGGCAGATTAAGTAGCAGCCAAACGTCTAGGCGACCACACACAACATCTGTCGATTTACAAATATCCAAATCGAAAGAAAGCACAAAGTTGTGCGGCTGGCATGCAGCAGACCGCGTGTGCCAGCGCTTCATTTCATTTCGTCTCATTAATCATAAACGTGTTAAGAACTCTGTAAAGTTTTGCACAGAAAAACGACATAAATCAGCATGACATCGTTACGTTTGATGAATATTCTAGCTATGGCCATAACGGCCGTTGTGGTCATCTTACCATCTCAGCTGGATGCCTATTATACACAAAATACAGGTAAGTTGCTTAGAGGTGATCAAAAAACAACACAAGAAAACTGAAAATTTTAAATGTTTTCCCAATTAGTAAATTTCAACATATTTTCGTGAGGCTATTAACATCTATTTAATGGTAATGTGAACACATCTGGAATGTTTATATTAAAAAGTTTTCAAAAAGGTATTTGAAAAAATTCAAATTATTCAAAATTTCTGAAAAGCACAAATGAAAGAAAATCTAGAATTTGGAGGATCACAAAATTAAAAATGATTGTGATTTTATTTTCATTGCCAAATACTATGCGTCGGTACCTCAAGATCTACCCTTTTGTGATTGATAAAATGTACATATACTATTTTGAGAACTTAGTATACCATTTACCACACATTGGTACAGAATATTATGTATTTGTATATCTATATAACAGGCAAAAGAAAACGAGATAGACCCATGGTTCCTTTTGAGAATATGCATAGAATAACTATCTGAGTTGATTTATGCCCGTCACTCCGTCTGTCCATATTAAATTGTATACAAAGTGCGGGTCGCATTTATTATCAGAATGAAATTTTGCACAGATCCACGGACGAACCATATTGAACATCGGTTGGAATCAGTTCAGATTTAGATATAGATTCAGATTATATAGTTTCGTCCGATTTTCAATAAATGGTGCACCAAAAATCCAAAGTTAGACCGATTGGCACAAAATTTTACACAACGTAATGAAGTTAGTGCAGTCTAACGTGTGTCAAGTTTTGTTGAAATCGGTTCAGATTTGGAAATAGCGCCCATACATATTTTCGTCCAATTTTAAGTAAATGATGCAGCAAGGATCAATATTATGGCCGGTTCGGGTTTGAATATATATTTTCGTCAGATTTTAAATAAAACTCTTCATTTTTGTCCGATAGCCAGCAAATTTTGCACAACGAACAAAATTGAGCATAGAATAACGTAATTGCATTTTGTATAAAAGCAGACATAACACATTTTCAACCGGGTGTTGGATTGAGGTTTGCTTTAAATCGAATTGCATTATTTTGTCTCATTGTAAACAAAAGATTCTATACCTTTCCAAATGAAAAATTTAGTATCGGTTGCAGAATGGCATGTTTATGGATTGATCTAAGTTGGTTCTTCTATTATATGGAAGAAGGAACAAATTTGGTCTTGACGTTGCCTTCTATTCAATAGAAGCTAAAGTACACCTGACCTTCTTCTGTTCTACATTAGTAGAAACTGATTTGACCTTATTCAATTCTATACAACCAGAAGCACTCCGACACTCCAGCTATTCTATCCTACTAAAGGATACCAAAAATGTCACTAAAACCCAAAACGATTCTCTTTAGCTGGACACTGGCCAGAAACATTATGCAATATTAGTAGAATATGGCTTGTGTCATTTTCCTAGAATAGGCATTGATATACTATGGCTTAGTACAGTACAAACATACAAGATCAGTCAGGTAGGTGGGGTTGCATAACTAATTTGCAAATAAATATCAGCATCCCTGTGGCGGAGATAATAACTGCCTACGATTTTAATACCATACACCTCACTGTGGTACAATTTTATGCCACTGTGTATTTGTGTGTAAAATACAGAAGGAATGATGATACAATATACCAAATTCTATTGAAATACGTTCTTTAAATCCTCAAGATACCGAAAATTCGGGTGTACCGTTGTATGGGGCTACCCAAAAAATTGACCTTTTCATAATTTTTAGTGCTACCCAATAAAAACACTAAGTACCAAATTACGAATTCGGTTGAAAAATGCGATCAAAAACTCTATGTGTGGTGTACCCTTATATGGGGGCTACCTGAAAAAATGACCTATATTTATAGTTTTTAGCAAACTGATTTGTTACCCAATATGAACTCAAAGTGATAAATTAAATCGAATTCGGTCGAAAAACACATTTAAAATTCTCAAAATACCGAACATTGAGGGGTACCCTTATGTGGGAGCTACCCGAAAAAATGGACCGTTATTCATAACTTTTAGTGGAGAGATTTGGTACCCATTTATAACTTAAAGTATTAAATTATAGCGAATTCGGTCGAAAATGCGCCGAAAATCCCAAAAACACTGAAAATTGTAGAAAAGTGGACTTTTATTTATAATTTTAAGTGAAAAGTATTGGTACCCAACAAGAACCCAAATTACCAATTTTTAGATAATTCGATATAGCCCATCTTCGAACTTCCAAAAATATATAAAACTGAATCGATTCCTACCAACTCCAAAATGTTTCGGACCAAATAATCTAGTAGTGTCAAATTTCATATCATTTGCCTGCATTTTGTTTACAAAAATACGCGGACGGACCAAATCCTGCGAAAGTTGATTCTTGGTAACGTAATAACTTAGTGGTACATCACGAAATAATTACACAAATTCAAAAACCACCAATAGAAGACGGATCACTGTACATCATGGCAATATGAGATTCCATACATTGATTTTAACAATAAATCATATCCAAGAATACTCCGAATTTAACTCCGTCCGATCTCAGTAAATCCTTTATTAAACCCGCAACATATTGCACTACAATCAGGTTAAATGTAGAAGAACGTATATCAAGTTTGATTAATATCCGTTCAGATGTAGATTAATCTCCCATGTAGTTTTCACCGATGTTGCTTCCATATACGAGTAAATTCTATTTATTGCAAATTATAAAAAATCGTAGAAGAATCTGTAGCACATACCTACAGTGGTGGTTACCAGATCTGATCGACTTTGGATCTTACCTTATTGATTTTTTATTGAAACATGAATTGGATTTTTAAAAGAAATTTCTTCTTATACATGATCAGACATGAATTCCAAAAATAGCTGATATTCTGTCAAGCTGACTATAAGATAGCATCATGATATCTGATCGATTTGTGTTTGATAATTAAGACGTTTATTGTTACTATGACTTTCTGATTGGTTTTTGTTAAAGAATGTTCTCTATTCAGCATAAATGTCTGTTAATTTTATGCAAAACGCTTCTCCAATAAAATTATTTTATTGATAAAAACAAATCTATCAATTTAACATATTGTTCGAAACTTTCGTTTTCAAATTGTTTGTTTTATGGGAAACTTTATTTGTCGCTTTATTATAATCGAATAAATAACATTCAGATTCAAAGACCTTACATGTAAAAGAGGTATGAGATTCACTCGTCCCGAATTTAGAAATAATATGAATTGCTTATATTAAATTCTAAAAAAATTAATATTCCAATATTTCAAAATGTTTATCAAACTCTGTATTATTCCTAATTGGACTTGTCTGCATAGAGGTTTTCTAACCAGTATGAACCCGAAATACAGCTAAGGCTACTATATTTCCGCCCCTATTCCATATTGATAATTTAATTATTGCTTTATTAGAGCTCATTTTGCTGAATCGAAATGTGAATCAAAATCGTTACTAATAAATAAAATCAATAACCAATCACAAATCAATTCAATCCTGACCTGTAAATAAGTAACCATTTCAAAATGAAATGGAATGAAATGAATGGTTCGTCAATGTAATATTATACAGTCATTAAAAGTCATCTCTATTGGCTGTCATTAAATTAATTCACGGTGAAAGTTTGCTTTACTAATAAAAACCGAATTCAAGTACTTTAAACAAACGTCATCAGAATACTCCAAAGGAAAAAGCAACCCAATATCAATGATACTTTAGAAACACAAAAAGAGCAAGAAATAGAAAAAAATTCACATCAACAAAAAAATTTTATTAAGCCTTTCGTTATTTCGTGTTTTTTGTTTAGTTCGATGAATCGCTGAAAAGACATTAAGTTAAATAGTCATTAGATGGGCCGAAAGAATCGACTGCCTAAAGTCACAAACAAAAGAGCAAAAATTATACAACAGAATATCAGCGGGATAGCAAAAAGAAAGAAAAAAAGAAAGAAACCTTTCACAAAGCAAGTCAATACTAAATAAGTATCGGTTGCTTTACCTCAATTATTTCTTTTTACAATTTTGAACTTTTTTCGCTTAACAAAAGGGTATTTATTTTTTAAAAATGGGACAGAATAGAATAGGATAAGAATATCATTTTTCATTTGGTTTTTTGCCTTTTCGCAATTGATTTTAAATTTTTTCCAGGTAGTGCTTTTGGGATCTAAGGTTAAGGTTTCTTTTTTAGTTCAATGTTAAGGTCTTTGATGTACACCGTTCTAAGTCTGCGGGATATATCCAAAGTTGGTAAGGTTAAATAGGTTATATGTGCCGAAATGATGATAAATGTAGAGATAAATCAACAGAAATGTGTAGAAAGAATCCTCAGAATACGAGAACATTTTTTTAAACAAAACAGTAAGGACATTAGTAAAGTCGGACGGGGCCGACTATATGATACCCTTCACCACTTTGGGTACATTCAACAGATGAATTCTAACAGACGTCACATTTTTAAAGGACCAGCAAAATGAAATTGGATTTATAAACATGCCATTCTGCAACCTATACTAATTTTTTCATTCGGTCAGATAAATAAGCTATATCTAAATCTGAACCGATTTCAGCAAGTTTAAAACACATCATTCTAGACCTAATTCATTATATCTAAATCTGAACCGATTTTCATGAAACTCAGCACACATCATTCTAGGCCTAGTTCATTACGCTGTGCCAAATTTCGTGCAAATCGAAAGATATATAGGGACTTTGGTGCACCATTTACATAAATCGGACGAAAATATATATGGGAGCTATATCTAAATCTGAACCGATTTTCACCAAACTCAGCACACATCATTCTGCACTTAATACAGAACGCTCTGCCAAATTTCGTGCAAATCGAATGATATATAGGGACATTGGTACACCATTTACGTAAAATCGGACGAAAATATATATGGGACCTATACCTAAATCTGAACCGATCTTCACGAAACTTTACATACATCATTCTAGACTTAATTCAGTACGTTATGCCGAATTTAGTGCAAATTGAACGATGTATAGGGACATTGGTCCACTATTTACTT